CGACCAAGGAAAGGGCAAGGCCCGGGCCCCCGAGCAGCCCAGCGCCAAGCCACCCCTGCCCAGGAAGCCGCTGCTGCAGAGCCTCACCCTCCCGCCGGCCCCCGCGCCCCCCGACGCCGGCCCAGGGGAGCCCGACGCCGGGAAGGAGAGTCGGATGGCGGAGAAGAGGCCTTCGCGCAGGGGAGCTGGTAAGAGCCCCGCCTGAGTGGGTCTGGGGAGGGCGGCGCGGAGGGCGGATGGCGTCGGTCGGCCTCTCCTGCGGGACGTCCGCAAAGGACGACTGCTCTGGGTCCAAACTCTGGTGCCGGGGAATGGGGGCGAGGAGCCAAAATTCGTTTTAGCATCACTCGCATCACGTTTGATTAAGGGTAAGGGACAGAGAGTAAAGAAGGGGAAACAGATGTCGGGGTTTTGCACAAGTGCTGAGAAGTCGGGTGAGTAGACGCGGGATAACGAGGGAAATGGGAAAGCTGACTTCGCAGCATGCTTTCTGAGAGAAGATAAGACCCTCAGTGTATCACTCCCACTTTTCATCTAAGAGGCTCAGCAGAGTCCCAAATCCCAGGACCTGGCTGCTCATTTCCACGCAGGGTCTTCCAGGACCTAAGCTCCTTCTTGGCTGTTGGTGAAACACCTCACTCCTCTATCAGAGTCCTTCTGACCTTTGTCCACTAAGTAAGAGTTCCTTCCCTTTTCATAGTCAAGTTCACGTGGCCCAGCGTCACGTGGAAAGCATCCTATTGGAGTCATAAGTCTCTGAAATCTAAGCCTCTTAAGAGGGTTGGAGCTTGCTTTCTGTCCCCAAAGAGAGATTGAGTCAAGATTGGGGCAGACTGTAAGAATCTTGAAAAGCAGCTGCCTTTTAAAATGAGCAGAGACAAGCTAGATAACCTTTCTCTGTCTTTGACATTTGTGACTTCTTATTTATAGTGGTTCAGAGGAATTGTGAAATCTGTTGGAAATGGGTATTTGCGGCAGAACTAGAGAATCTTTCGTTGCTGTCTTTTTTTAATTAATGGAAATCAGTGTGCCACAAATGAGTTGTGTGTGCCTGTGTTGAGGGCCCTAGAGAGAAGTTTTCCATGACAAATTCTATCTTTTAAAAAAGGCTTCTGGCTATTTTAAGTGGCTACTAGAATTCCAGCACTCCACTTAAGCACTGTGTTGTGGGACAGAGAGGAAATAGCACCTGGTGGCTCTCTAGGGAATCCTGGAAGATGCACACACAGGAAGAAAAATCAGCGCACACAAAACAACATAAAAACGGGTCCAAAGATATTCTAGTCTTTTCTGGTTCCCTTCTAGGAAGCTAGTGAAAGTCCAGTAGGTAAAATGCTTTAAGTTCCTAAGGTGACACCCCTTGATTCAGGCAACTCCAAGAGCCCACATATGTGGCTTTCCTGAGCTGAGGGCCCAGGGCTTCAGCCGTGTTTTTTTGCTGCTGCTGCCACCTCATTAAAATAATCAGTGAGGGAGCTTTGGAAGAGGATCAAGCCATTGCTGATAATCCACTCTGCAAATTTCCAGCCAGGCTATTGAAGCTGCTGTAGAGTGATTCTAGAAAGTCATTGACATAGCAAGGGAGAAAGGAGTCTGTGCACATGAATCCCTGACGTCGGCACCATCTACCTTCCTGGCCTAGAATTCAAAGTGTCTCTCAAGGGCGTGGAACTTAGAGCGTTCAAGTTCATAATCAGGTCTGGAAATGAAGCTTCAGAGGGGTTGCTTGGTCTGTTAATTATGTATAACTTCCTCAGCCTAAGCAAGACTATCTTCACTATAAAATCCCTGGAATGCTATGTAAAGACCTTGTGTCTTTTTCTTTGTTTTATAAAATGTAATATAGTATTTATTTATTAATGCCTTTGCTTAAATAGTAGAAGAGAAATGCCCATCTATGTTTCCTCTATGTAATTCTCAAAAGCCATAGAAATAACAGAATTCAACAAATTCCAACATGAAAGAAGAATCTAGGTTACTTTACAGGAATGAGCAGTGATTTTCATTTTAATGCAAAGAGAGGAGAAGAGGAGCTACCTACATTTTGTAGGGAACCCCGCCATGGATGGAGTGTCAGGACAGGCTGGGCAGCTGCCCGCCCTGGACCTTGAGAGGCTATGAAGCAGATAAGAGCAAATCTCATGGTCTATGCTGTCGGATCTTAACAGTCACATTGCCCCCACACCTTCTCCAGAAACTGAATATGTTTGCAGTTCAATTCATTATTATTGCTTCTATTACTATTATCCTCATTGTTCCCAAATTATGTTAGCTGGAGGAAATTCAATTAGTATGAAACATACCGATAATAAAAGTTTTAATAACAGTATTACTTTAATTTTCCAGAAAGACCTAATTATTGCTGCTTCTTATCTTGTGGTGGCAGGTACCTTGCCCAGAGCTCCCAGATGGGCTGCCATCTCCCTGTCCCCACTCCAGGGAACACACCATAAAGTTACATTATTGAAGTGTCCCAGATGGGTGCATGGTTCTGCCTCGGGAACTCAAGCTGCTTGGTTCCCAGCACTCCTGCTAATTCCTCTTCTCACTTCTCTACCCTGTGTTCCCTTCTTTGAAGGAATGGAGAAACTCTTCAGCAGAGGGAGGGGGCATATGCAATGGTTGTGGTAATAAGCAGAAGCGCTGAACCTCAGGAGCCGTTTTGGAGTGGTTACTGCACAGTTAGTGCTATGTTTGTTCTCCTCAATGCAAAGGAGACCCGTTTGACCCGGGCCACAACTTGCTGATCTGTCCTAGGAGGCAAATGCTCCAGGGTTATCAGCCTTGTTCACTTGTGCGGGACATTATGCACAATGATGTTTAGCCAGTCCATCCCAGAGTCTAAATTACAGGCCAGGAAGTAGCTTTCTCTCCTCATTGCTCTCACTGTGTCTTGGCCTCAGGGGGTACACACATGTACTCATTGCATCATCATATAGAGTGGTGGTGGGGAATGGGTTTCAGGGAACCCATACCACAATCAGTGAACATTGTGATTTGCAAGTAGTTTCTGAATCCTAGCTCCCCATCCTCTACCTTAGTCGACTCTCAAAACTACAGACAGCAAAGCTTCCCACCCACAGTCCCGTTTCAAAATAGAACAAATCCAGGAAGCAGCTTTCTGCACACAAGGTAAGAATGAAAACAAAAGAGTTAGAGAGTCTTGTGTGAAAAAATTATAAAATGGAGAAAGTATATAGAAAAAATTGACCACCCATAAGCCCACTCTCCAGATGTTACCCTTTGATCTTTCCTTCTAGTCTGTCTCATTTCTGGGTGTGGGGTGTGAGGCTTTTTGCAAAACTGTGGTCACGTGTTGGTGTTTTGGAGGGTCGTCAACAAATTGCCATTCTTACCTGGGGACCTCATTTGATGACCAGCATCAGCCTCCAATCTGAGCTTGATTCCTCCAGGTTGGTGACAGAGTGATGCATCCAGTCTCTGGCCCTCTTTTTCTAGACGCCGGTACTCATTCACATATTCATTCTTTCAAGAGATATTTAATGTACTCCTGCCATATGCAAGCACTGTGCAAGTCCCAGAAGACAAGAAAAGCATGAGGGCCTCACCCCCAGGAGTTTACCATATGGAGGCGGCAGATGGCAGCTGGATGCCACAGGGGAGTGTAGATAGATCCCCACCTTACAGACATTTTCTGAAGGAAATTAACTGAAAGAGACTAAGGACAGAGTTAGTTCAGATATATTCATGTTCATTTGCATAGAATACAAGTGGTGGGGGGATTTTTTGGTATCATGATAAAAACATATATCTCTTGAAGTTTTTAAAATTTTCTTTTGCTGTGGTAAGAACATATAAGATGAGATCTCCCCTCCTATACATTTTTAAATGTATGGCACGGTATTGTTTCCTATAGGTACAGTGTTGTGCAGTCGAGTTCTGAAACGTATTCATCGTCTGTAACTGAAATTTGATACACATTGATTCGTAGCGCTTGGTTCCTCCTTCTCCCAGCTCCTGTCAGCCACCATTCCACTTTTTGAGTCTACGAATTTGTCTATTTTAGATTCCACGTGTGTGGGGGTGATCATATAGTATTTGTCCTTCTGTGACGGGCTCATTTCACTTGGTATAATGTCTTCGAGGTTCATGCATGTTGCTGCCTAGTGCAGAATCTCCTTCCTTCCTAACACTGAGTAACATTCCACTGTGTGTTTACGCTACATTTTCTGTACCCATTCCTCAGTCCAAGGACATGTAGGCTGTTTCCACATCTTGGCCGTTGTGAATAGTGCCACAAGGAACATGGAGTGCTAATGTCACTGAGATACTGATTTCAACCCTTTTGAACACATATATCTTGACGTTTTTAAAAGTTAATTAATTTTTTTTATTTGTTTCACTAGCTTTAGAGGATACAAGTGGTTTGGGGCCTTGTTTTAAGTGTACCACCATCTTCACCCGTGCACATTGTACCGAATAGGTGATTTTTCTATCCCTCCGCTTCTTTTCTCCCTCCCCTTTTTGAGTCTCCAGTGTCCATTATGCCATTCTCTATGTCTTTGCAGACCCTTAGTCTAGCTCCCACTTATAAGTGAGAACATGTGGTGTTTGGTTTTCTGCTTCTGTGTTAGTCCACTTAGGATGATGTTCTCCAACTCCATCCAAGTTGCTGCGAAAGACATCATTTCATTCTCTCTGTTAGCTGACTATTGTGTTTTTAAAAGAAATCCAGCTTTGTTCACATCTGCATTTCTTTTTAGTCTTGTCCTTCCCTTCACAGTCCCTTCCTGAGCGAGCGTCATCAATACCATGGCCTCCATTTTCCCACCTTTCTGTGTTCCTCAACCATGTGTGTCTTCTGATCCTTCCATACCTCCTAGCACAGCAGCCTCCCCTTGTTCGCCTCACACAAAACGCAGCACAGATTCCCACCTGTTTCCTGAAGTTCTCTCGTTCCTTGATTCCCTGAGCCGCAGCAGTCAGCCAGCTCACCATCTGATAAGCATCCCTGACTTGAGCCGGGTTCGGTGGCTCAGCCTGTAATCCCGTGCCTTTGGGAGGCTGAGGTGAGTGAATTGCCTGAGCCCGCGGGTTCGAGACCCGCCTGGGCAACTTGGCGAGACTTCATCTCTACAATAAATCAAAATGAGCTGGGCGTGGTAGCACGCGCCTGTCGTTCCAGTGACTCGGAAGGCCGAGGCAGAAGGATCACCGGAACCCAGCA